GGGGGGTTGGCGGGTGCTCTGGTGTGGTTTGCTTCTTCGTTCCTATCAAACATCTATCGTCCGTATCTCCCCTTCTTCTTCTTATGTTTGTTACTCTCTTGAAACAGCTCTAATCTTCTGGTGCTCATATGACCTTATGCAGTTGCGAGCCCCGTAAAACCTCTACTAAAACTTTTTAAAACCTTGACATTGGGGTGAAAGTTCATGGCAAACTTTTCCCACAGACCAAGTAACCGACACGCCCATAGGGCCCTCGTTAGGAATGTCTTGCTTTCTGCGACTACACGCACACACACACTAAAGTATACACAATGACACGACACGTCTAGGCTTTCCTCTGAACCAAGAAATCTTACCATTGAACTCAGCCTACCTTTATTATTTCTGAGCCACACCCAGTGAGTGGCTGGCGGGTGGTCTCGTGTGGTTTGCTCCTTATTCCCTGTCAAACAACTATCGTCCTGACCCTTAGCGTACTTACTATCTTGTAACACCTCTAATCTTCGGCATAGCGTCGATCCCTAGTGGTTAGGCAACCGGGCCCACAATCATGAGACAGCAAGCTCGGGGGTTCGAGCGTCAGCTCGGTCTGACGTTGTGTCGTTGGGAAGGGCATTTTATACAAATGTCCCATTTGGCTCCGTCCTTTCGGAAATGGACTTAAGGTCCCGCCTCTTAGATAACATACTAGTGTTGATGTTAAAATTACCATTTTAACCTTCGGCACTTATATGGCTTCATTAAGTTGCTATTGCCGCAAAACTCTTACTTAAACTTGACTAAACCGAGGAAATTTTATTGTTAAACTCATCCTACCGTCATTCTGGAAACACACCCACATTTTGATCCAGCCACCACTTTTGCTGACGTCTCTGATGCCCTGCTTACGACACGCTTCATGTCAGTCACGATAATCACGTTATAGATGTGACAACCAGTGTCTGTGGTGTACATAGATTTGACTCTATGGTTGTGTAGAGGATATAGGAGCTTCGCTGTCTCATGTAGGAAACCCGAGTTCAATTCCCGAGTTGGGAGAAAATCTGTATCGTGTACCTCGGCCTTTCTACTGGGACGCTGTATCATCTCTCTCAGCCCGAATTGTCCCTGACTAGCAGGGTCGGATGTCCGCCTCCTAATTGATCCAATTTGAGTCGAGGAGGGGGGGGGGGGCGTAGAAACACCTTTTTAAAAATGAAAACCCATAACGAAACATTAATTTGGTTACGACACACAAGATGCCAGTCATGATAATCACACAATAACATTGTAGCAGTGGATCGGGTAGATGCCTAGCAATACCTTCGACTGGTTTACATTAACTCTTTTAACCCCATCGGACGCTGCTAATGACAACTGTTTCCTTTCATGTCGTGCTAGTTATTTTTGCTTTTCGGAACTATTCCCGATCCAAATTTTTTAAAGTAATGACTAAGCTTTTGTTTTTGCTGTTTAGAAGTTGTAGGCAGGCTTTTGTGTTTATAATGTGACAGTGCTCTAGGTTTATGTGACTGTAGAAATAACTCCGGGAAACGGTGGAGAAAAAAACCCCGCAGGGTTTATAGAGTTAAACGTCGACTGTCTGAAGCTCGGGAGAATTGGACACAGTGATTTAGCTGTCAACTTGTTTAGCGACGGTCTGGCTAGCAGGTGAAATGTTTGTAGAACAAACACACTCAGCTGTCATTCTTGGGGGGACAGTTTACCACTACCGCAGCCGTTTGTGTGGCATCGTGGGGAAACCAGGCGCTCGTCGAAATCATAAAAATCGAAGAAAAATCGACATTTTTCTCGCCCGTTGAGCAATTTCTCTCAATTTTGTTTTGTTTTTTGTTTTTGGGGATCAACGTCTTTTATGTCCGTTTAAGAAAGACATTCCATTGTGGATTTTACTGGAAAACGTTGATAAAAGGCACACAAAAAATTTAAAATGTTCATGTAAATGTGTGATTTCTAAGGACACTGCAGTTTTGGAAGTTACCAAACATTGGCGGCTATTTTCTCTCGTTAATTATTTTTACCTCTGGCCGCAAGCAATCCCCCACTCACTTCAATCGCAAATATATCGACTTCAGTTAAAGATAGATGGGTATTTTGTCCTTCAAAAGCAAGGCAAATAAACAGGCTTTAAGATTATACCAATAACTCTACAAACACCCAAAATTGACAAGCGCATTATTCCGACGCGTCGAGGAACATTAATTTCATTTATCACGTTATTGCTAGTGCCCACTGCAGAAATTTTCGTCAAATCGACAGAGTTTGATCCTTCTGGTTTTTGCATTCCTGGTTTTCTTTCATCGATCGGGAAATTCTACCTTGGCGGTGTCTGATCCCATCCTCCAGAATGAACAGTGTTTGATTTTCTGGGGTGTGATAAAGTGCATTTAATTAATGAAGATCAGGCCAACTGCAAATCAGAAGGTGATTTTGTGCCACATGACATTACGGTATCAGATCTTTTTTTGTGTGTTTACCGAATGCGATAGAGAACTTTCGGGTCAAATTTTATGAAGTATAGGAGATTACTCTTTTTTGACCCCGCCCGATCCGATTTGATTATACAGATCAGGTCCAGATCTATTTGATCACCGTGCATCCCCTCCAAAATTA